GCATCATGGCACATTCCAGTGTTTGATTCACTCTAGGAAATCTACACCCAGTCAACTGGTGCACAACACCCACCACCCACATGTGTCCTCAGCCCAGAGACAGCCAAATGCCCTCTTACAGTCTTTGTAGGTACCTGAGGTAACATTTCGGAAGGAGGGACTGGAACAGCAATGCTGGTCTTGACTTAGGGCACTGAGATTTAAGCCCTGGTTGCCTTGACTCAGCAGATGGACCTGAGGCTTCTGTGTTCTATGGTGATATATTGTTTATGATTTAATAAAGCCACTGGAGATTAAAATACAAAGCTAGCCATAGCCATGGAGCCAGACAATGATGATACACACCTTTAATTCCACTAGCCACACCAGTTAGCTATAGAAGCTGGGCAGTGGTGACACCCACCTTTAATCCCAGGACTCGGGAGACAAAATGCATCTGTGTGAGTTCAAGGCCACCACGGTTAATTAGAGTGAATCAGTCTAAAACAGAAACAGCTCACACAAAAAAGACATCAGCACTTGAGATCCCACGCCTTTAATCCCAGCTCTAGAGAGATATATAAAATAGGAGTGAGGCATTCAGTATTCAGTCTCAGAGATTAATTCTCCAGCCACACTGGGGACAGAACAGTCCTTTCAGTCTGAGGTAGAGGTAAGAGCTAGTGGCAGGCAGATTTGCTTCTCTGATCTTCAGTGTGAACCCCAGTATCTGTCTCTGGGTCTTTTATTATTCACATTACAAATATATATAATAAAGTCACTGGACTTTTATTAATCATGCCACAGTGTTCTCTCACTGGTTTCAGTTTCCATAACTATACAATAGTGAGGTAGCAAAGTGAAATCCCAGTGCTCGAATCTTTATTCAGCCTCTGCGCTGCAGGCAAGAGCAATGGGATTCCTTTACAGACTGCTACCATGCAGATTTACTTCCTGGGGCTGACAGGCACTTGGGACTGCCACTTTTCAGTCTCCTTGTCTCATCCAGGGCCCCATAAAGCTGTAGGTGAGTGAAGCATACCACCAGGACACATAGCAGTGACTCTTATGTTTAAATAGAATCTAAGATGCCCACCAAATCTCCTCACCTGTTCCAGACAATCAAACTCTAATCTGGATGCTGTCATGAAGGTTGCCTACATTTAAAGTCCTGTGTTGGTCTGTTCCACATTACTAGCACAAAACACTGGAGGCAGGCTAGCTTCACCAAGAAGTGCTGACACATACTTTGGTGGCAAGACATGGAGAAATCAAGCTAGGACACAGCTGGAAGTTTCCTCCTTGCTGGCTAGCCCTCATAGTGCTATACGGTGCTATGTAGGTTGTGAGGAAAGAATTGTTACCAATGGTTTTACAATGATTTGAGCTTTATGTGCAATATTACCAACATCCCAGCAAAGATGTATCTACTGGTGCATGACTCTTTGGAGGCAACCAACAGCCTCCCTATTGGATTTAAAATCTGCTACACAAGAAGATATTCACATCTGGCATTGTAAACCTATTCAAAAGCTCATAATCGGGGAGGTCATAGGGCCTTGTGGGGAAGCTGCTGCTGTTGTTTTGCTACATGGACATAATGTAGCCATCAAATTGCCTTCTGAATATGTTTGTGCCCATAGATTAACACTGCTGTCAGCTTTTGTCAGAGAAGCTTCTTTTTGCAGAGACTCATAATTGGTCAGAATTCTGGGGATAAGTGGCTGTTGAATGCTCAACCCTCAATGGGACATTTAGATCATCTTCTCAAAGGCTTAGGGGACATTGAAGAAGCAGGGGCAGAAAGGATGCACAATCGGAGGAAGGGGAAGTGGTGTGGCACGCTGCCTCCATGCATGACATGGCCATTGCACTTGAGAAAACTCAGCCGCTGTGGTTGACTATATGAGACCTGCACATAATTGGGTCTGTCACTGTCACAGGGAGAACAACTTACTAGACCCCATCCCTCCTTGAGGACATACAAGCAGTTAATGGTTACTTGGAGAGGTAGAGGTGTTTTCTTCAGTTGTGTAGCTACCAGTAAGGTGTCTATGCTCTTGTGAATAATCCCTCACCCATTCTCCTATAAGCAACCCTAACTAAACTCATTGGGTCACCCCCCCCAAGAAAGCGTGAAAGTATAAGGGTAGATTATCAGGAGTGTGAGGGGGATGGGACTACAAATCAAGGAAAACAGAATTTATCAAAAAAAATGATGCTGATTGTCAACATAGAAGATTTAGTGAAATCTACAAAAATATACTAGAATTGATAAATGAATTTAAGCTTGGTTTACAGAAATCAATATTACAACACTAGTGTGAAAAGCATGTGAATGAATTTAACAAAATCTTCCATTTATTTGTGCAATAAATACTACAAAACAACACTAAAGTCAACACAAATAAAAGAAGATATAGCCTATGACCCAATACTATGAATTCTCTCAAAATTAGTCTATAAATTTGGTGTCATCCTAATTAAAGGCCAAGCAAATGTTTTTGTAAAATTTGTTAAACTGATGCAGCCACTCTGGGAAAAAAGGAAGACATTCCAAAAAATGAAACTAGATAATGGTTACCCATGTGAGAAATAATCCAGAAAAATAAAAACATGTTGGGAGAAAATTCTTACAGCTTGGAGGTAGCCTAAGATTTCTAATATATGATATAAAAATACCGAGCTATGAGGCTGGAGAGATGGCTCAGCAATTAAGAATACCAGGTTCTCTTCCAGGAGACCTGGGTTCGATTGCCAGCACTCACATGGTTTCTGAAATTTTAGTTCTGGCCTTTGAGGGCACTGCACATATGTGGTGCACAGACACATATTCAGGCAAAACACCCATGCACATGAAATAATAAAATATTTTTTTAAAAAAAAGACTGAGCCATAAATACAGATTATTTCTATGCTAGTCTGCTTTCTGCTGCTGTGATAAACACCACGACCAAAAGCAACCTGGGGAGGAAAGGGTTTATTTTATCTTATAGCTTGTAGTCTGTTATGAAGCTACATCAGGTTAGGAACTCAGGGCAGGAACCTAAAGGCAGGAGCTGAAGCAGAAGCCACAGAAGTGTGCTCCTGACTGGCTTGCTTCCTGTGGCTTGCTCAGCCTCCTTTCTTATGAAACCCAGGACCAAAGTCCAGGGATGGCACCACCCACAACAGGATGGATCCTACTACAACAATTACCAAGGGATAAAATGCTCCAAAGACACAGCCACACACCAGTCAAACAGAGTCGATTCTTCAGTTGAGGTTCCCCTTTCTCAGGTGTGTCAAGTTCACAGCTGAAGCTAACTATAATATAATTCAATTTTTTAAAAGAGTATTCTTTAAACATAAAAAGTAGAAAGGAAATATATATATATGAAAAATATTCAGTGTCAGTTCCCATCAGGGAATTTAAAGCTATGAGACCCTAGAATTAGTAAGTTAAGAAAAATAACAATGGCAAATACTAACAAGAATGTGGGTCCACTGAAGCTCTACTCTCTAGCTGCTGTAGGGTAAAACCTACTGGATGACTGAAATTATTCTGGCTATTCCAATACATGTATATTTACTGAGAAAAAAGAGGGGAGTGTATATCCACAAAGCAAATGTACATAGGAGTTTTATTAATCTAAAAAAATAAAAGAAGTGGAAACAACCTAAATGTCAGTCAAGAGGTGAACGAAGAAACACAGTCTACAGTGGAATATTATTCAGCAGTACAAAGAACGAAATTATACATATCAGCACAGATTCGTCTCACATGGGTTTACTAAAGACTGGATCTGGCATGAAAGAATAGAGACACTGTGTGGGGGTCACTCAAGGTTAAGAGTTCCTGTTACGATGGGAAGAAAATTGACAGAACCAAGGAGAGTGAGTGATGGTGATGAGAGAGGTACCAGTAAACTGATGTAAGCAGTGCACACCCAATGACAGTTCACAGAAAGAAGCAACTGTCAGAGTCATAGACTGTGTGTGTCAGATGCAGAAAATATCATCAATTACACATCAAAGCCAGGGACAGAGATAGATGGCTGGTGGATGGAAGATACACACGTATGAGATAGACAGACAGACAGACGATGATAATATATAGATGAGGTAGATGGATGGATAGATGATAGTCACCCCATGTTATTAGATGCTCATTACAGCAACATCCCATTTCCAAATGTCAAACTCTGTGTTACTATCTGATAACTACAGAGCTAATGTACAACTTGTCTCAGAAACATACCAATAACAGTTCTGGGGTCCATCTCAGTGTCACAGGCTGACATCGGGTTGTCAATGGCCCCTCTAGAAGCTCTGGAGGAAAGTATATTCCTTGTCTCTTTCAGTTCCTCAGAGCTGACACTGATGGCATGGGATCCCATCACTTGGGTCTTCAAGTCTCTCTGCTTTATCTACACCGTTTTGTCTTCTGTTGGTGTCAGATATCTTTCTACTAAGAATGCACCTGAGTGAGTGCATGTGGGTCCATCCAGATAACCCATGATCATCCTCAGTGAAGCATGCTCAGTTCACACAGATCTATAAAGCCTCTAATTCTGAACAAGGTAACTTTTAGATGTTCCACGAAAGAGTGTCATGTCTGAGGCCATTAAAAATTCTAAAATGTGAACCTAGGAAGAAAAGTCCAAATAGAGCTGGTATAGAAGAACCTGCACATGATACTGTCACCCCCTAGTCACATGAAGTAAGCAAACAGCAGGTGAGCATCTTCCAGGAATATCTAGGAAACAGACACCAAAGTTACTGTGAACAAGGAAGAGATCAAAATTGGAAACCTAAAAAACATCACTAGTGCATGCAGTCAGCAGAAAGCCAGGGAAATTAGCACAACAAACTAAAACCACAACATTAAGGAAATAGCCTGAAGGCACAAGGAAATGACCAGGATCCCAGCAACACGGGCACAGATATAAAGGCCCCAGACTCAGGGGACTCCACACCTGCACACTTCCCTCTCCACCTGCTCCTCTGACCTACTCCATCCTCAACCCAACACCAGAACCATGAGCTGCTGTGGCTGTTCTGGAGGCTGTGGCTCCTGCTGTGGGGGCTGTGGCTCCTGCTGCTGCTGCTGCAAACCTGTGTGCTGCTGTGTGCCTGCCTGTTCCTGCTCCAGCTGTGGGGGCTGCAAGGGTGGCTGTGGCTGCTGTGGGGGCTGTAGCTCCTGTGGGGGCTGCAAGGGAGGTTGTAGTTCCTGTGGGGGCTGCAAGGGAGGCTGTGGCTCCTGCGGGGGCTGCAAGGGAGGCTGTGGCTCCTGTGGAGGCTGTGGCTCCTGTGGGGGCTGCAAGTCCAGCTGCTGCAAGCCCTGTTGCTGCTGTCAGTCTAGCTGCTGCAAACCCTGCTGCTGTCAATCCAGCTGCTGCAAGCCCTGCTGCTGTCAATCCAGCTGCTGCAAGCCCTGCTGTTGTCAGTCTAGCTGCTGCAAGCCCTGCTGCTCTTCAGGCTGTGGGTCTTCCTGCTGCCAGTCCAGCTGCTGCAAGCCCTGCTGCTGTCAATCCAGCTGCTGCAAGCCCTGCTGCTGTCAATCCAGCTGCTGCAAACCCTGCTGCTGTCAGTCCAGCTGCTGCAAGCCCTGCTGCTGTCAATCCAGCTGCTGCAAACCCTGCTGCTCTTCAGGCTGTGGGTCCTCCTGCTGTCAGTCCAGCTGTTGTGGCCCTGTGTGCTGCCAATGCAAGATCTGAGATATCAGACAATCTGGCTGTCAGATGAAGTAGGGGTGGAGTTGGCTATTCTCATTGTTCATAGAACACTCCCTCAGATATTATCCTCTCCCTCTGAGATATGGCTTTCTCTACTCCTCAGCCACAGCTTTGTAGGAAGCTGGTGGCCATAGGACTTTCTGGCTCTTTCTTGGCCACTGTCCACTCCTCCCAGGAGATGATGGATACTATAGATCTGCAGCACCTAGTGAAGGACACCTGTATGTATGTGGCTTCTTAGCAGGTAAAAGCAATACTCTGACCATATCAGACCCTTCTTCCCGCCAGCAGAGTCTATAGTGGCACCCCCTTCGCACCATTTTTATCCCTGTCTCTTAGAACACAGCAATCTTTTCCTTCAATAAAATCATCTCTGTCACCAAAATAATTCTCCTTCCAGTGTCGCCCTGTTTGTGTGCTAAGGAATAGCAAGTTCATGGTCAGTGGGCTCCTGGGAGACTCAGGAGAGGGTCTCTGTGGAACTGAAAAGGGTTATCACCAGGATGAAGCAGTGTTTGGTTAGCCTTTGACTCAGCAAGGTGGCTTTTCCCAAACAGGTAGGTGATGAATGTGGGAAGAACATGGCCCCTTGTATCTCGGATGATTTCCAATGTTCTCCTGACAGGACTCCTTTGGGCACCATAGCCCTGGGTTGCAGGCCATGTCACTCTTGCACTTCGCAGAGGAGGCATACAGGGTGGACATTATTCACCCCCAACTCTGAGGCTGAGACTTCCTGCAGATGGTGTGTCTGGGGTCTCCGATCACCCCACTCCTGTACTTGGACCATCAAGGCCCTGTGGAACACTGTCCTCAGTGATTCTTGGTGCCTCTTCTCCCGGAAGGACCCAGCCAGGAAACTGCACTGGTGAGCTGTGCTGACCATACTGGACAGGTGACACAGGAGGTCCAAGGCCAGGCTCAGGTTCCCTTCTGGAACGTATAGGATAAGAGACACGAACAGGCTCCAGAGGAGGAAAGTGGTGGCCACAATGCAGACACTGTGGTAAATCCTGGCCAGTTTGCACCACTGGGGTTGGCACAGGCCATGGAGGGTCTGAATCAGCCTGGACATTGTAGAGAAGGTCAACAGGTGAAATATCATAAATCCTGTGTAAAATGGGTGGCAGGCTAGGCCCTCTGCACAGTGGGCACAGACCTCAAGGCCTGCATGCAGAGAAAAGTGCCAGGACCAGCTCAGAGCACTGACTACCACAGATGTTTGCATGAGGCAACAAGTGGAAAAGAGGATACGCAAGGAGTTCTCCACGCTCCTAGCTATGTCAGAGAACAAGGAGACTGGCATCAGGACCACAGCAGCATGCCACACCACCTCATGATGGTGTCTAACCATGTCCTCCAGCAGGACCCCGATGGTGCAGGTGAGACTGAGGATGTCAGCAGTGGTCAGGCAGAGGACATAGGCCAAATGGAAACAGAGGGGCCAGCAGACTACACTGCTGCCTGTTACCCCCAAAGAGAGCCACCACCATCGTGAGGGGCAAGACCACCTGCTCCAACTGCAACCACTCATGCCCTTCACTGTCCACCTCCATGAGTCCTAGTGTCTTCGTGTCATTGTCCCCCAGGGAAGGAGAGGGATGAGCTCAGCCATATAAATACTCTAGCCATCTGGGCACACCTGTGAAAGAAGACAAGGCTTAGGACTTCTAGCCCAACCCCTGAGATTGGTGGGGACCTACAGGTGGAGTCCAGAAGAGGAACAGTCAATCTGTGGGAGACCAGCCCCTGCTTTCCATATCCTCCATTGCACATGACTGGCCTGGGTCTCCAGATGTTCATGTTCTTTGACACCCACAGTTAGTGCCAATCCCTGTAGCTATACCCTCTTTGTGCTGAATTAAAAGATAGATTTAGGAGCTGCTGAGATGTTTCAGTTGGCAAAGTGCTTGAAATACCAATATGAGGACCTGCTTTCCCATCCGCAAAACTCATGTAAAAAGAAGACTCTGAGGGTAGAGGACTTGCTGCTCTTAAAGAAGACTGAAGTTTAGTTTCCAGCATCCATGCCAGGAAGCTCACAACGACCTTAACTCCAGCCCCAAGGGGCTTGACTCCTAGCCTCTACAGGCACCCACACTCAGCAGCATGTGCACTTGCACACACACAGGCACACACAGACACACACACACACACACACACACACACACAATATATATGTTTAAAGTAAAGCATGGTAGCATGTCCTTATAATTCCAGAACTGAGGAGGTTGAGCAAAAAGAATCCTTGGGACTCACCGGCCAGCCAGTCTAGCCTACTCAAGGAGTTCAAGGCTAGTGAGAGACCCTGTCTCAAAAACCAAAGTGGAACAGCACCTAAGAAATGACAACTTAGAAGGAGGGAGGGAGGGCTGGGGGGGAGGGAGGGAGTGAGGGAGGGAGAGGGAACTGGGATCGACATGTAAAATAATAAATTAAATTAAAAAAATGCGTTGACTCCAAAATTTAGGTTGAAGGACAAGTTACTGGGGAAAAGGATTTCTATTTTTGTTTCCACAGAAAATGAAAAGATGTGGATTCCTTCCAGACTAATGTGGTTTGATCATGTCAGACCGCCTGAAGCAGAGTACAAGCTAATCCTACATTCAAAACAGCTGGACAAAAACAGCCCTACAGACTACAGCTAGGATATCTGAATCTTCTTCGAATCCCCCAAGACAGCGCCCCTTACCAGCAGGAAGTAGTTTGGAAAGAACGACGCCCAAATTCCCAAATATTGTGTATAAATGTTTGTTTTCATTTAATTGGACTTTGTTATATAAAATTAAATAAAATAAAAGAAAGAAAAAAAAAGAAATGACAACTTAGGTCTATACATGCATATAAATAAATAAGTAAATAAAGTAATGTCCATATGGGGGCACAGAAAGAAAGTACTTTCTGAAAGCCAAGGAGAGAGGACCTGGGAGGTACCAGTCCTGTAGCACCTCCATCTTGGCCCTCCAGTCTCTGGCACATAAAACAATGGGCCTTTGACCTTAAATCCACCTGTTGTGGTAGTTGCTACAGTAGTTCCATCCAATATCATGGGACAGACCCAAGCAGGGGAATTCAGAACACTCGTATCAACCTAGCCTTCTGATGTAAAGCTGCACAGCTCCGCTTATAGACGACGCTTCTGAAATGCTGAGCTGATAAAGGCCTGTTTTATTCAGGCAGCACATGTGAGCCTGGGGCCTGCAGCTTGGGTGAATTAATCACTGAGTGTTGAATGTTTGAGGCTGTGTACCAATCCCCTCCTTGCCAGGAGTATACTGCCCTCTACTAGGTCAGTGGTTCTATTGAAATGAACCACTCTCTCCTGTATCCTATACCCTTTTATCTGGGGGTTACTGAAGGCTGCAGATCCAGCTCAGATGAATCTGGTCATATGACTGGGCAAAGGACTGGAGATATACAGACATACAGTATTCTTGGAAACAATGGGGTCAGCATGTCAAAAACTATGATGGGACTGGCTGGAAAAGGTGGAATAGGACCTCACATTCCACCCTAGGACACCAGGAAGGTATAGCTGGGCTGTGCCCCTCTCCCCACAGCAAGAAGAGAGGGACATAAAAATGGAACAGTCTCAGGAAGGAGAGGTGACAGGTGGCCTTGATCGCAAGGCAAGTGGGTCAGTTCATACCTAAGCTCACCACAACGGAGTCTTGCAACAGGGCAGTATGGTTAGATGACAGCTCTGTCCCCACAGAAACCCCAGCACTGGAAATGTCACTTCCCAGGTGGACTTGGACCTGACTCTCCAAGCAGACATAGTGGAGTGAATACTGAGACTGAGCAGCCCTGATGGAGTGCTCAATCAGAGGCCACTTAAACTGCAAGGACTTGCTCTGGATCAGAGGTGAGCCTCCAAACCCCCTTTTTCTCCTCTTGCAGTTTTTCTTTTTCTCTTCTGATGCAAGTGTCCACATAACCCAGGCTGGCATTGAGCTCCACATAGCTGAGGATGATCCAGAACTCCTGACCCTCCTTTCTCCCACTTCCAAGTGCTAGGATTGCAAGCATGGCCCACGTATTTGTTCTGTGCAGTGGTTGGTTTGAGCCCTGTGCTTTGTGCAGGTAAGCAAGCACTCTATCCACTGGGCCTTAATCTCCCTTCATCCTTATTTGAGTAGAAGTACACAAAATGTAATAGGAACAGCTCAGCCATGTTCAGCACATCTCCAATATTGTGTAGTCAACTCCTTGCCCAACCCCTAACCTTTCCCTCACTCTAAACTCTACCTCCACCAGTCTCTCCCAGCCTCCTGCTTCTGGCTCCTGGCATCCACCATTCTGCTTCCTGTCTCTGGGCTTTCCCTACTCCAGACAGGCTATGTAAGTGGAAACATAGGCTGTGACCTTCTATGCCTGGCTGTCCCCACTGGGCAACATGTGGTGGGATTATTTTTTATAAGGAGTGGGGTGTTCCGTTTTGATATTTGAGACAAAGTTTGGCTAAGTACCCAAGCTGGCCTTGAATTTGCAATCATCTTGCCTTGGCCTCCCGAGTGCTGGGCTTAGGAGTGATGCTTGGTCATGTTTTCAAGCACATGACCTTCCTTTTTGTGTGGAAGCTCTCCACAGAGATCATAGGGCAAGGGTTTCCAGGCTGATTCAGTTGTTAGGTTAAAAATGGACTCACCCAGACATGGTGGTACATGCCTTTAACCCCAGAATTCTGGATGCAAAGACAAGAGGAGCTCTGAGTTCAAGACCAGTCTGGTCTATATAGGGAATTTCTAGGACAACCAGGCCTACATAAGGAGACCCTGTCTCAAAATACATACATACATACATACATACATACATACATACATACATACATACATAAAATTAAAAATCTGCCTAACAGTCACTTGGCTGGATGTAGTTTTCTCAAGTATACCAGGTTGGCCTCAAGCTCACTTTGTCGGCAAAGATGAATTTGAACTACCAATCCTCCCACCTCTACCTTCCCAGATGCTGTAATTAGGCACTACCACCTTCCTGAAGTTTTACATTCCAG